ACATGATGATATCGGTTGTCATTGGTTACTATTTTTGAAGGCAGTGTCCGTAGCTGGGTAGCCACTTCAGCATCTGATACCATGTTACAGAGTACTGTTCATTTACCTCGAAAAGAGGAAAAGGGAGAAGGGAGAAACATGGTCATCCCGTTTGACCGAGGCCGCAGCTCTACCCGTTGCTCTGCCGTGATTGTGAACCAATCGTCCTTTGTTGCTGATATGTTAGATGGAAACTACTATTTATATCTGAGGACTTAACAGGATTCGTTATAACGAATTATGTCATTTATGATTTCATATCTCCTCTGCGTATTATTGCAATGTTCCACAATCAGTTAGGTGAAGATGCACTCACGTCTTTCGCAGAATTGGCCTTTGTATTTAGCAGGGCACAGGCACTCGGAACTGCTGTTGCCGAAGTGGATACATTTTCCGCCGTTTTTGCACATGTGGTGACAATTCCCTAAAAAACGCGAATTTAGACTGCTAGCAAATCAAATGGGATCAAGAAGGACGACGAGGGTCAATGACAACTTACGGATGTCACATACTCGACCGGTGAAGCCGGGTGCACAGACGCAAAAAAAGTCGTTGTTGCGATTGTGACATGTGCCCCCGTTCAGGCATGGCTTCTTGTGCAGGCAGAAGTCCTCGTCTGAAACAATGGGCGCTTTCAAGCAACGGTCACTGAACATCAGCAAAGGTACCGTTACCTTTGTCGCAGTCCTTGCCGCCCCACTTGTTGTAGCAGATGCACTGATGCGGCTTGTGGCAGTAGCCATGAACGCAGGTGGCGCTAGTCTGGCAAACGTCACAGTTCGAACCAGTCCAGCCATATATACAGTTGTCGCAGCCAAACGGCTTATCGCACGTGCCTTTACACCCGTCACGACACACAGCTTTAACCAAAAAATAAACAAGTGAACAAAGTATAAACAATGCTGGGAAAAAACAACAGTGAAACATAAAACACGTGGCCGTAAACAGTTTTGAATGACGTAGGTAGTGTACAACCTCATGTGTCGGATAACAGTCTGTCGTCACATTCGACCTGACACTCAAACGACAAACAGGTACCCGTAACTGCATACATGCTGTGTTTTGTGAGTGACACCAACCCCGCCCAGTATGGTTTAGATGGGCCTGTAGCACATCCAAAGAGTAAAGTTCTAATTAGAAAGAACTGTTGTTGTTTAAAATTTGCTAGATGTCTTCGCACGGTAGTGCTTACAGTGAACATAGGAGAAATCGGTTCCTTGTGCATAAAGTCAGATCTTGGTAGATTTACGGCTCACATGCATTTCTGCAATTTAATTAAAAATTCATCGGTTTCTGCAAATGAATATTTAT